TCTGCACAGTTCCCAGCTACTGAGTGCTACTGGGGAGTCACGCCTTCTGCCAGTTCCTCTTCTGGTGCAAAAACAACATGTGCCTCCACTGAACCAGAAGAGCCTTGGCTCTCTATCATGGCTGAAGCTACTCCAGTACAGATGCCAACCTGCGCATAAATGCTCGAGTTTCCTGGAGGCTTGTATAAGTCTTAATTGAAGCACTTTTCTCAGTGTGTGTTTTACCTTACTGAATGCAGTTCTTCTACAGACTCAATAGAACAAAAAAAATCTCTGAACGCCCAGAGGAGAAAATGTCCAGGTACACTGACTCCCCACTCTGTTAAAGAGTTCCTCAGCCAACCTTTATGTTTTGATTTCTGGCCTTTCTCAGGATTAAGAGACATGTAGTAGAATGGTTAAGAGTGTAGCGCTGATACTATATTTAGGAACATGCTTGCTGTGTGAGGAGGGAATTACAAAGCCTAGTGATGCAGGGGTATTCGCAGCCGTTGAGCTGTTTGGAAAGCAATGGGAAAACTTTAGATGAAAGCCACTGCATGAAGCACATTTGCGTGCATGTGTGTTCAAAGGGCTGTGTAAATATTTAAAGAATGAGGCTATGATCATGGTGAGGACTGCTGCTGGGAAGATGGAAGCAATAACTGAGTGCTAGAGTGCATGACAGTTACTAGTGAATCCTTCAGCCAGTTCATGGAGCCACTCACTTCACCATGTCTGTCTGAGTAAAACAAAGAGCTTTATTCCTATTGCACTTCAGGAAACAGCCTTAATGCATCTGTACTGATGATCAAGATAGACACGGCCAAAGAAAATGAATCAAGCAATAGAGCGGTGAGAGGAACCCTTACCTTGTACTGCTCTATCTGCTCCTGATGAGGGAAGTGTGCTATTGGAGAGAACTGATGAACATATGGACTCCGGAGTCCATCTCGGAAGAGGTGGCGGATGAGCATGGAGCTCACATAGGTTTTGCCAGTCCCGGTCCAGCCGTGGAAGGACATCACGAGGGGTTTCATGGGGTTCTCATTCTCCAGAAACTCCCTCACTCCTTTCATCACCTGTTGCTTCACCAGGGGCTGCCCTACTAGATTCATTGCCAAATCACACTCCAGACCTGAAAGAAATGCAAGGTTTAGAAATGCAGGTTTAATAGTTCCTACCTCAAATTGTGACCACAATAATGCAGCTGTCCCTGTCTCTGAGGGGTGCTACCTTAGTTCCATCTCTGTGAACCAGGTCCCTCTGGGAGGCCCCTGGACAGAGAGGCAGTCATCAAGCCCTTCCTTGGCAACCCTTCGCACCAGGCTGGATGTGACCCTCTGCGAGGGGCCAGGCCCAGAGCCCTTCTCCACGCAGCACTTCATGCCTGCTCCCCATCCCCCCCGGGGCTGGGGGTGTTCCCCTGCCCAGGAGCCTCTGCAGGGGCCCCTCGGGGAAGGGTCTCCTTGACAGATGTCCCGTCCCATTTCACACCCCTGCTGCGGGGACATCTGCCTGCCATTGCCCTCACCTCAGGGACCCCCCTGCTCCTAGAGACCTGCATTCCCCTGGACCCCTGGGATCCCCTGCTCTGAGGGACCACCATCCCCTGGTCCCCAGA